GAAAGAGTTTCGCGACGTGAAGACGAAAAGAATTCGAACCAAAAAGTGATAAAGTACGGCATTTAGTAACAGGTAAAGTGTGCACATGATACGTTCTTAGTCTCACTTGACGCAACCCAAATTCGACAGTCAGGTGGTCATAGGAACCCAGGACCGTCTATTGCAGAACATCTTATAATAACCACAAACATAAATGATTCAGCTTCCTCTTCCAAACTTTCAATACGCAACCGCAATGCAAAACTGATAGTAATTAGCTGAGCGTTTTCATTAAAATTACACCATCCCTTTTTGCACTGAAAAACGTGTTGACACAATCAGTTCACATCCAGAACAGAGAAAATGAAGCGTGAACTGAAAACCAAGGAAGCACTAGACAGCTGTTTTGACCTGGTTGAGTTTCATCACCAGTGCACGAATTTATCGACCCAGTTTCAGGTTGTACAGCCAATAGCCACGCAATTTCGTGCACTGGTTTTGCCTGTCCTTTTGGATGAAGCACTAGGAGAAGGACAGGAAAGTCGAAAGTAGAGTCGAGGAGAAAATGGAGAATTTTAGGGGGACTAAGGTTGTAAAGAAATTGAGAAGCTGCACGAACACCATTGTTTACGACACTCAGCCACATCAATGAGTTTCCGAGTTGCTGCGATCTCTAGGTTTCCATCTAGCGAGCCTAACGGAACCTATTTGTGACAAACGTAACTGAGGAATCGAATCCGGAACCTCAAAAGCAAAACGCAAGCATACTACCCACTCGGCAATCAGGCAGCCGATTATTTTGGATATGCACGATATGGTACAAATTATCTTTGCGGGCTTAATCGGGTTGGAATGTTTCCAACCGAGGCATAACCTTGTAGGTTATTGCTGAGATGCGCAAGGTGCGTTGCCTGCATTGAGCTCGCAAAGATGGGTTGTGCTATATCGTGTAAATGGAAAATGAAAAAAAACGGTCTGATCAGCTACCGGTTGGGTAGTATATTTGCGCTCTGCCTGTTGGGTTCCGGGTTCGATCCCCAGCTAGGTTGATGGTTTCGCGCCAGGTCAAAACAGCCGTACAGTGCTTCCTAGCTTTTCAATTCACATTTTATTTTCTCTTCACATGGCGAAATTCACTAGTTAAATGGACCAAATCCATCATTTCTCTTATTTACCAATCAGATCATATCCCGTGGAGTTAGTTTATTGTTTTTAATTTCAATAGCTCGTATCTAATCGTATACGTCCGTTCACTATGATTTACCAACGCAATGCACCATCCATATATGTGCCTATTTGTTTTACATCAGAGATTGAAAAGATCAAAACAAATGTTCGCATCTCACGATATGTCTTCGTGTAATCTTGATGCGATGAATAAAGGGGACTCAGTGTTTCAAATTCCCCATTTTTTAGTTCACAGTTGATCGAAGATGGGTGCAGAACTACCCATGCCTTATCCAGCGATGTGACGTATTCCACACATAACAAGATGTATTGTATCTGACATGCCATTGAATCCACCCACTCTCTGCCATCTATCATCTGGGAGAGTTTTCCATCCCGCAACTTTCTTTCAATGAACACTGGTTGATAGCCGTTGGGGAGGTTCGAGAAAATAGCAAATTCTGTTGATCGTAAGCACGCCATCTCTAGTTGTTAGGGTTTAATTTGCTCCCTGTGTGTGTGAGAGGGAAGGGTGGGGTGGGTGGAAAGCTGTTGAGGCTACTGAATAATACGTGAAAAAAGTATTTTGGTTATGAAGGCGGTGCATTTTATTGTCTATTGTCAATACACAAATCCTATGCACATTGCTTAGAAAACAGTTGAAAACAAAACAGATACCTGTCGTACAAACGTCGGCGCGGGAGGCTCTGAACAGTTTCAATCGAACTGTACTCAAGCTTATTGGCTGGTCAATCGGGTGTTCACATACACGACACAACGACAAGCATGATATTTGCAAGGTGAGTTGTTATTGTTGTTGTGTGTGTGGATGGGTGGGTGCGAATATGAATGAAAGCCTTGCTGTGCGCACGAACACGCATGGTTTATGGTTGTTCAAACTGAAAACTGAAACTTACCGTGTTGAAAAATACGTACTATCGTTGCCGCGCTTTTCATGAATGTACGGAATAAGATAATCTGCAAGAGGTTGAGCAGACAAATGCGCAGTCTGTGTGCCTTCCCGGACTGGCCGGTGAGATTTTCTGCCAAAGAAAGTTTCAACCCCGTACACCGAAGTACAAGTTTGCAACGACAGTAAATGCGAGCGGTGAAAAATTTATTGCCTTCTGATTTCGCGTCTTGTTTTAGAGTGTGATTGCGTCATCTCGATGTCTTTCTGAACCACNNNGATCCGCGAAGATGGGTAGTAAGTCGCACAAACACACGATTTCCTACTATTGACAGATCAGCCCATTCGGACTGTCCCAGTTGAACTTTCGTTAATGGCCGATTTGTACCCTATCTCGTTTCTCACTCCACTCATCCACTTGATTCTACACGTCGTTGATCCAGAGCTAGCGGCAGCACCGATCCCTCTTCTCACATACTCAAGTGTTTCGGAGTGTATGGTTGAATTGATGAACTGCAGATTGTGCATAAATGTGAAGTCCGAAGGATAGTCAGCTCAAATCAATATAAAAAATACGCAATTATCGTTACCGATACTGTTACCGTTTCACCATTGTCACATCTACTCAAAGACGGATCATTCGGTCCACCTTTGTCCATTTATAACATTGTTTTATACTGTCTCTGACAGTACTCTTCTCACTTCCGACAATACCGTGTTACTTACGCTTTGCGGGGTTTCCAAGCCGTCTCTCGGGGATTGGCGGTGAAATGATGTCCTGTCGTTTCATAGTTCGGGTCATGTTCTACTCTCTTCCTTACCTCCATGTCTTTGTAGGCCACATGAGAGCAACGTGAACCGGTATTGTTGATCTAGTGCATGCAAATAAACTATCTATCGAGGCAACAGCCTCTTTCTGCATATTGACGAGACTATTTGTTCATCAGAGGTTAGCCCTAGCCTTGAACTCACCAGATCATGTGGAAAATAACGGTGAATATTATTTTTTTTCATATTATCCATAAAGAAACTGAAAATGAAAAAAAACTTGAAACGTATCGCTCACTGAATGTCAGCGGTACTCGCTGACTTCTTGACCATAATTTTGGCCTCCCGTAGCCTCTCTAACAGTCTCATTGTACGTTTTCTTTTTTTTGGTGAAAAACATTTGTGCACCATGTTATCTGTTGAATTCGACAAGTTTTCCATCGAACACCGCGTACATGAATGAGAAGCCATGGGTTGTTCCAGTGCTAAACCC